AGAAATCTGGTAGATTCAACCAGTCGTCTGTTAGAAAATGAACGAGTTAGAATTCCTTTAGGATTCACCAGATGTGTAGTGAAGTCTGATAAACTTCTGGTTATGAAATATCGAGCCCTATCGCACTAACTAGAAGTTCTGTTTGGTTTAGCCAAAATACATTCTATCATACATGTATTATTGACACAATCAAAGCATTTTTCTCAGTGCACTTAACATATGCACACTGCACACTTAATACGGCAAATCAGGTGCAGAAGGACAGCGAACCGTTGCGGCGTCCTTTATCACTTGTCTGCCACATTGCACGATGCAACGTGATTGAACTAGAAGTAAATTTTGATCCAACGAAATTACCATTTGCTTCTATTGTAACACATAAATTTAATCTCCGGAAATAAATGTCATATATCTATAAAGATTAATCTTATTGTGACTAAATATAATATTGCTATGAAAAACATAAATTTGCCACAGGTTTTATTTTCTGAGCAGGAATTAAATAAAACTTGTTTTAACAAGTAATTAGAAAAATTCGATATATAGAAATGTATATTCTGTCGTTACAGCCACATTTGTTTATAACCAATAGACATCGAAGAAAATATCACAAGTAACATTTGTTCCTGAACATTCCGGCTTTTGTTCCTCAGTGTAAGAGCTAGATTAGTAATACTCTAAAGCCTTTTACCTATGTGGATTTCCTACAATAACCATAAAGATGTAGTGTTTTAAATCAGGTGACTCAGTGACTCAGATAAACTCTGATTGGCTCTCGTAATCCGGTAGGAATATGTACCGTGACTTGACACATTCTTCAAATACCACGAGTTCCTATGTCCCTGTTGACACAAATATTTTGGGAAACGTAAAAGTCGAGCGAATCTTTCGGTATCATTTGTATCGCCTTTTAATCACAATCGAGGCCCAGATTCCCCGATACGTCATCTACGCGCTTGGCAAAACCGTACGGTGCGTTCTTCGCGAGTCGCGGCGGGGCTGAGAGGCACACGCGGGACATCGGTAACGATGCCGGTAATGAGATATTTTTCTAGCGGACGATTATCGCGTTAAGGAGGCGAGGCTCAACTGCAGCGGCGTATAGTATCGCGGTGCACTTCTCGTAAACACACATCGGCGCGGCGTCCAACATCGGCGTTTAGTATTCTCAAGTTGCAGTTAGCATCCGGTTAAAGCGGCGACGAGACCGCACCCATCGGGCCGGACGATACTTTTTTCCGTTAGCAAGGAGAGAGAGCGGGAGGGAGGGAGGGAGAGAGAGAGAGAGAGAGAGAGCCCGGTGAGACCGTTTCCTTTTTGCTTCGCCTCAATTCGGCGGGGACCTTTAACGTTCGGGGCCTTGGGTGGATCGAAACCCCGCCAGCACCGCCGCCACCGCCGACCTATATCGCTTTTATGCTGGCTCTTGAAATACGAACGGTGCCGCCGAATCCTAGACGTCTCCGCCATTCTCCCCGATCGCCCCGATCCGCTCCCGGGCGAGATCCCGGGTCTCGTTACCTGTCCGCCGGTAAACCGTGCGATTCCGGGAAACCGACGCGCAGAAGGAGTATTGATCCTCCATTGATCCTCCGCGGGTCCATCTTCTACTGACGGTAAGATACGTAAGCGTCGCACGGCGGGCACCTTCGCTTGGAAAACTTGTGCCTCGCGCATTGAAATGAAAAAGACAAAAAAAGAAAACACATGATAAATTTTCTACGGACGGACGAGAGGTAACGGGAGGTTGCGCAATATCGCACTCATTTCGTTGGCGTCCAAGTGTTATAAACGTCTTACTTTTCAGCTCGTAGAGACTGATAGACTAGTCAATTCCTGAAAAAAAAAAGAAAAAACGCTCGACGGTTTAGTGTTCTTGAAAATAATAACGCTCGTTTCGCAGAAATGGCCTATTTCGCTGAACTGACCTATATTCAAGGGTTCAACCTTGGCAGTGACGTAAAATAAAAGGAAAAAAGAAACCCCCCCTCTCTCTCTCTCTCTCTCTCTCTCTCTCTCTCTCTCTCTCTCTCTCTCTCTCTCTCTCTCTCTCTGTCTCTGTCTCTCTGGTCAGGTGAGAACGACGTATTCGCGAGCGTAAACGGCTTGTCGCTCTGCCAAAAATTAAGAGATCCGGCCCGTGTCCCGACCGTGAAAAAGAAACGCGCCGAGCCGAAGACTGGAAGCGGAGGGAATCGTCATTTCTGAAACGTCGCGTCGGAGGATGCGGTTTTATTTGATAGCATGGGAACTCCGGTTCACGGGCCGATCGCGTTGCGCAAGGCTTCCTCGTCGCGAGCGGCGTCTCGGGCTCGCAAGCGTGAAAGACGGCGGTGGCAGACGCCGCTCGTCGCATCCGCCGCGCGTTTTCGCCGAAAGAGTTTCGTTAGGCCCGCAGTATATATGGTTTATATTTGTATGACTTTCAGCGTGCGCCTCTCTTGACGTGTTTGCACAAAATAAAGAATTCCGACGGCCCGGCCGTTCGTCTCTCGCTCGCGTGTGCGGCAGAATCGTCCCGTCCCGTGCTGGCGTGGCTACTAAAAATATATCGTAGGCGAAACGACCGGCGAGCGGGTCGCACACACGCTGACACACACACACACACACACGTACACACACGTCGCGCAGTTTGCCGTACTGCATTTATAGATCGGGGCATTTACCGGGAAAAAAATGTCGACTCCTATGAAAGGCGGCGCGATCGAGGAGCCGGTGACCGTCGTGCAAATCGCGGAATCGAGCCCCGAGAGAAGCACTCGATAATCCCGATTCACGCGAAATTAGAATGCAAATTGGTATCGCGAACTCGGCTGCCGATTTCAATAACGCGTATCTATCTTGTTTACAGGACGCCGAACACTTGTTGCCTCTCGATGATAGCCGGATAAGCGTGGGGCGAGATTAATGGGACTGAGAAACGCTTTTAAGAACTTTTACGAATGCCATTAAAGAAAGTCCAGTATCACGAAAGAAACACATTTCATCTACCGCCGCGAAATTTTGCACAGCTTATTTTCTCTCGCGGTCCGCGGACCGGTGTATGTGTGCGCAACCGGGGTTAGGAATGGACTTAAATTCTTTCGGGAAACCGAGTTATTGCGAGATTCCAGCTGCCTCTGGACATAAAGGCTTCCGTGATATTATCATTTCTATAGAACACGTGCATAACGCACGGATGAAATAATTTTACATATCATTGTCGCATTTTGATTTGAATAGGCGAGTGGCCTCGATTGCCGCTTTTCCCGTGAAATCGCCGAAAAAGTGTCCCCCGGAGAGAGGGAGCGTCTGGCCAGGCTAATGCGGCACCAGAGGATTTCTATGAGAATGGAAAATGTGATTCGAATACTGTATTATGCAACTCCCCCAGACGCGGCGCGGCGCGGCGCGTCGAACATTATGTTCAAGGAAACAAGAGTACCCCGGGGCTGACTGGCACTAAACCTGTTTACGCGTAAAGAGTCTACCACACTCGCCATTTTTTCCTTTACGACGCCGTAACCGTGCACTTTAATACGCGACGCGGAGCAGGAAGGAATCATTTTTACGGTCCCACGATCGCTCGGATGCGCACTACGTAAAGTAAACAATGTGCGTAAACAACGATAAGAAATCCGCGCGACGGCCAGTGCAACAGATACCGCTCATTTAATAAATACCGCGGCGATCTCACCGCGCGCCGAACGGTCCCCTTTAAAGAGGCGAGCTGCATAATTTCCCCCCCAGTTAGAAAAGGAAAAAGATTGCAAATTACTTGGCATTTATACGACAGTTTTATCCGCGCGCGATCTCGCGAGCCGTGAAATTATTAAAACTTGATCACCTTGCGGGTTTTGCTCGAAAAATTTTTACGCTCAATACATTTATTCATTCGCTCGCTTTTTCCGATGATCGATTTCTCGGGCCGATAAAACTGCGGGGGCTCTCGAAAAGGGAATTGATTCGCGCAGGAACGCGACGCGTTCCCGTAGACGTTAGCTCGCGGAGGTCGCCTCGACGCCGCGGAGGTTAAATTAACGGTTTTACGATTCAAATTTCTCCTCCGCGGCGTACACACGCCTCCCTTCCAAGATATATTATCTGCCGTACGTAAGGACGCATTCAAAAGCCCGTCATATGAGAGAGTGCACGCCGCGCGCCGATCGTAATCTCTTAATTTCGCATGTTTTTACGCCCCCGCGGGCGCTGCATCCGAGCGTCGAAAACCGGTATAACGCGATACTCTCGCGGTCGCGTCAGGATTAAACTAATCGCGGGAGGCTGCAAGGACATCGACTATCAGGTCACTCGCTTTCATCCGTGCCCCCCCTCGCCCTCCCGGAGCGTCGTCGCCTTATCTTATCTAACGCTCGAGCCTCGAGCCGAACGTACACGAGGAGGGTGCGGATTTCATTTTCTGTCCGCGGACGCTCGGACCCTTCGGCCCTTCCGCTCTGACCCGCGCGGCAACGGTCTCTCGCCGCGACTCTCGCAAACTCATTCCCGCCCGCGTCTCGCGCGATCGCAATCTAATCATATTTAACGTAATTACACGTATACTCGAATCCGCCGTCCGCTACCGATCTCGTAATAAGATAATCACCATAACACGCTTCTCCCGTTATAAAATCTCGGGGTCCAACGAGAAGAAAATAACAGTGCAACGCGTGACGGACGGGAGGTGGAAAGAGGGGGAGCTGTGCGACCGTGTTTGACACTGACAGTGGCTGATTAGCGATTGGGTTTGAGGATAGACAGGCAAAGGCGGGCGACGACGCGCGCGCTCACGCGTATGCGTGCGCGCGGCTCGGCGTAGCGCGGCGGAGTGAGCGCGAGCGGGCGAACGAGAGATGCAGCGGACGAGGAGGGTCGAGGCGGGGGAGGGGGGATCGCCAGACGCGGATTGGTCCGCTCGGCGCGGCCGCGGGGAGTGGGGGTTAACTCACAGCTGAGCGCTGAGCTATAGAATAGACTCCGGCTGGCCGAGCGCACGATGCAGTAGCTCATGAGCGCTCGTGGAGCGAGGATCAAGGTGTTTCCCCTCTTCGGAGCGGGCGAGGATGTCAGTTCGTGATCGACGAGCGACGCGTGAGAGTAGTAGCCTGTAACACGTTCGCCAAGGTCTTGGAGCCGCGCGTGCACGTCGCCGATATCCGGACACCGGGGAGGACCCAGAGGCTTACGATCGGAGGGGAAAAAAAAAAAACGAAAGGGGGAGTCCACTCGGGCGCAGGAAGGATCGGCGATCGACGCCGCGCTTTCCCGTCGCTCGCCCGGCGAGCACGTGGCTGCGAAACGTACGCGCGGCCGCAGGAGTCGTCGTCGTCGTCGTCGGACAAGCCGTATCGCGGCGGCGTAAGGTGCAGGAGGTGTCTCCCACGCAGTGCCGATCGGAGGGATAAGCGAACGCGCGTTGGATAGCGCGCGCGCGCGCCCGCCCGACGCGGTCCACAGTCGAGTCGCGTTCACGGGGGAGAGAGACAGAGAGGAGACTACGGTGTTTACGTACTTTGGTCATTTTTTTCCCCCCCCCGAGATCGTCGGACCCGCTGCGACGTAACGCGAAGGTGCGCGAATTCGGTGAGCCGAGCCGTCCGCGATCCAAGTGACCGATCGCTGCGGGAGTAGCGAGAGGGGTGAAGCGACGAGAAAATTAGCAGCCCTCCCTTCCCGCCGCAGCGGAGCAGCGCGGGATTGTGATATGCGAGTCCGCCGACTTGGCGTCGTGGTTCAATTGAAGTGAAGTGTTGCCCCTCGGAGTGGAACGTGGAGTTGCTTCGGAAGCGGCCCGAAAATGTTGCCCACGCAGCAGGAGAGCCCCCCGAGCACCTCGGGGGCACCCATCAGATTCGGATCAATGCTTGTGAATAAGGATTCTCCCACGCCGTATTCGGATGCCACGCAGGTAATTAGACCCCGAGATTTCCGTCGCGCGCGGAGGAAAAAACCTCGACGCATTTTCCCCGAAACTCTGATCTCGGTCAGACGCGGTGTATTTCCCCGCGGGGAACTCGCCGTTGCTTTACGAGCAATTGTTTTGCGGCACATTCTCCACGTTTGTCCGTTGAGAAAAAGCCTGTGTCGACACGTCCTTGCTCGCAGTTTTCACTTTAAACGTAGAGTGAAAAAGAATTGGATCGAGCCCGGTAACGGGGAACCTGTTTCAATACGTGCCGCCGAAATTGCGTCCCAAGTCTGCGTTGAAATTCGAGGGGGCATGTTAGAAAAGTCTCTCGTAGTCGAGTCTTACATCCTCTTTAAAAATTTCGCGGGCCTGCGCTGAAAAGGTCACTTCTCGGGGAATTTTTCACTGCACTGCTGTTAATCTGAGAAGAGCACGCCGGGGGAAGTCGAGCCCTCGGAAAGTCCTGCGCCGGGAGACACTTTCCTTCTCGGGAATCCCAAACTCGTTCAGAAATTTTTCCAAGGCACGGTAGATAGATCGACTTTCGGGGACTCTCCCTGGCGCATTCGTGCGGAGACTCTACCGTGTGACATTCTATGTCCCGTCTGTTTGGGAAACACGCGAGGATTGACTGTGTTATTTCTACCACCCTTCATTTTTACGATTCCCTACCTGCATTTGGCCGTGAGAATTTCAAGGGTTTTTCTTTCAAACTGGCTGCGAGTCCCGAGACGTCGAATGGCGGGCCTCACGGAAGGGCAAACTCTCCGGCACGAAATAATCCGCAGCGCCGCGCGAACCGAGATCGCGCCGCCGATATTCGGCGTAGCCGAATGATACGGTGGCGCAAGACCTGACGTCACGGCGATCGCGTACCGCATCGTTTACGAACGCCGAGGTGAAAACCGCGCTGGCTTCGTTAGACAAGAGCTCGGCTTGCACTCGAACGCGCCGCGAGCCGGTTATTAAGTCGATTCACGTTCGGTGAGCAGCGACTGATAGATTATTCGGTACCTACGACAGAATTTTGTCGAGTCCGCCGAGTTTTCGGGCTCAAGTTCGGCCGTATTTACCTGCGACTTCCTTTCTCTCTCTCTCTCTCTCTCTCGTAGAAACCTTTTAATAATACCTGGTAATCAAGGGGCAAAAAAAAAAGAGCGCGTGTATATCCAGCCGGATACTAGCCCAGGACTCCCGGACTGCGCGTGACGAGGGTCAAGCCGTGTATTTTGAAAGCGGCGCAGGTAAAGCGCTGTTTAGCCTCGTCACAGATTTACCGCCGAATATTGCCGCGCGGATGCATCGAAGGCCTTCCTTAAGCCGGATTAATGTCCCGGCGAACGCTTTCCCCGCGGTCCCGGCGGAACAAAGTTTCGAGCCGGGCGCGAAAATAGCGCAAAACGACGCCTCGCGCAATACGTCGTTAATAACAACGCCCGTAGGAGCGCGCGCGCCTCAAAGTGGGCCGTAAACTACATTTTTATCGGCGCACGTGGCGAAGTGCATAAATCTCCAGTATTAACGAAATTTATTGCTTCACGGCGTATTCTCATTCGTATTCATCGACGCGACTTTTATGAATTTACGACGGACGATCGCGTTAGTTACACAGTTGGAAACGACGGGCGCGATGATTTCTCGAAACGCCGCGCGCAACGAAATCGCCGGCCGATTTCCCGTGCTTTTCTCCCCGCGTGCGTAATTGAAAGCGTCCTTTCGCGATTTCTATTACACGTGCGTCAAGCTGCTCTAACAGCGACGAGAGTTCGCCTCGGAGAGTCCGGGATTAGTCCCCGTTGACTGTTAGTTATTTAAAAAAAAAGGCGAAATATCGAGCCGAAGAAGTTATTCGATTTCGACGTCGGCAATCTGTGTTCTCGGAGGAAAACGACGATAGAGACGCCTGGTTGGGCGAAGAAACGAGCGGCAGACGTTACTTTAAAGTGGAACAACCGTAAAGGCAAAGTCCCGCCGGTCAGCTCGATCTCACCGCCTAACGATTCGGCGCAATAATCGACTCGGTCTAAAGCCCAATGTCCACGATGCTAAAACTTGGTCCAAGTCCTTGGTCCGAGAAACGTATAGCCAATAAAATTGCCGCTTTTCCGTAGAAGCTACAAATTGATTGGTTACAAATTTTTCAATCCAAGAACTTGGACCAAATTCTAGTATCGTGGACATTGGCCTTAAGTCCCAGTCTACAATAGAGATTTAAGCCCTAAGCCTTAAGAAATTGACTAATCACAGTCGCGCATTCTACTCATACTTGACCGTGATTGGCCAATTTCTTAAAGCTTAGGGCTTAAATCATCTATTGTAGACTAGGACTAAGAGACCTCCCCGATGGAACGCGATAGTACATTGAGATAACTCGTTAGACGAAAATATAACACCTGCCCGATGTTTGCGAGACCCGTCTCTCCCCCCCCCCCCCCCCCACCCCCGCCGAGATGTCATAAACAGTGCCGGTTTTCTTTTTCGTGCTTACGTATCGATCGGCGAAGTCTTTTCGCGGCAGTGTCTTTGACCGAGAGAAACCAGTCGTTTTCTAAATATAGAAGCGTTATTTATCCTCCTGTCCTTTGCTACCGAAACGGGGGGACGTTTAGCATATATATACGTGTAGTATCAAAAATATCGGGGAATTCGCGGCTGGCGTAAATAACAAGTATTATCACGGACGTCGGGAAGAATACGAAGGGCGCGCGGTGTGTAAAATTGGAAAGTGGATTTTCAATTTTGTTTTTCCTCTTCCCTTTTTTTTACCGCTGGAACGTTGATCGGATTAGCTTAAGCCTCTTCGGGAAATTTTGCCCGAAGGGTCGGCGCGAGGAGACGGTTTCGAAAAATTTCAAAGAAAGGTGCTCGGGCGCGGGGCACGGCCTGCCGTGGACCCATGCAGCGCTAAAACGCCCTTGCTTTTAAAACCCATGCGTTTCCGGCGTGCACGTGTGTGCGCGCGCGCGCGCGCCGCCTTTCCTCGCGGGCGACCCACAGGGCTGCCATATGGCTCGCGTGAAAATTCGTAGATATTTCCAGACCTCGGGCTCCCCGCTTTTGCCGTGTCCCGATACACGAGAACCGGATATTCCTCCCTCGTACGCGTAATTACTCGGAGCTCTGGTCGATACACCGACATTTTTCTCAGTAGGTCCCCCGGTCTCGAATCTCCTTGGAGAGACCAGTCAATTATCCTTCGGGACTTTAATGACTCAGGTCTCTAATTCTAGAGCTCGGCCCGTCCAGGTAGTCCTCCGCGCGGTTATGTATTTTGTATCGCTCCGGGGAAATAACATTCCCCGGTGCGCGGCCACGGGTTACACGGGTATCCGTTCGCGGCGCGGAATAATCGATCGATCGCGTCATCGTCGTGATTTTTGATTTCGCACGCACGACTCCGGCCACTCCGCGCCGAGCCCGCGCCGTGCCCGCGATCGTTTCGAGAGGCTGTAATTCAACGGTTGCACCACGATCGTCCGTTTCAACCGATCGATCGAACTCCGCGAGCACGAATCGGGAGTACGAAACGGTCGTGCGTTCCGCTCGGCATCCGTGCTTTCGTTCGAGGAGGTCCTATTACTTAACCCGCGCATGCCGTGCGACGTGCATTTAAATCGCACATCTCCCTCGATAAATTACACACCTTCCGAGCCGCCGCGAGTTCGTCGCGAGAGATCGGCTTTTATCGCTGCTTAAACGTCCGCTCAACGTAGGCGAGATTAATATTGGAGATATAGTATCGGATTTAATAATATAAAACGAAAGATACGAAGGATGATTCGAGATAATCGCGGCATCGCCTAACGAGGCACGAATATACAGGATCTCTTCCTTTTTTTCTATCTGATTCGATAGCTGCTCGACCGTGTTGCATCGCAATTGCGTTAGCCGTCTTAATCTCCCTTGACATGCCGTAACTTCGCACTGCGCGTTATCAAATCTTCGTCGCATCCGCCTGGCGATACTCGCACGAAACCGCAACAAATGCGTCACGATACTCGTCTGGAATACGCGACGAGGGGGAATGCGAAAGAGAATACCGCACATAAAAAGATGATATCTCGAAACGTGGACGTTGCATCACTTGCTCGTCATCGATCTCTTGCTGAAAATTGAAACTGAGAATTAAAACTGACCTCGGGTTTATCTGCGTTACACGCGACGTCGAGCCCACCGAGGCCCAGTTTCCTTTCCGCGTCGCTTAACACGAATCCCGTCTCGACTCGTCCCTTGTCCCTTTTCCAAACGCTCCCTCAACGATTTCCCTTAGAAAAGGACCAAGAACGAGCTAAACTAAAGTCGAAGTTGAGGAAAAGCCCAGGCCTAATGTCCACTTCAGTGCGGACCAACTTTGATCGCGGTTTAACTTACTTCTTATCCCTTTCTGGCTTCAGCGATTGGAAGAGGATGAAAACTCAGTTAAACAGGGCTCCAAATTAATCAGCACCGGTAGACGCGGGCGTAAGTGAAGCTGTTCATCTCCGCTCGCAAGTTAAGTTTATCTCGCGTTAAAACGACACCGTCCGAAAAATCGTATTCTCCTGGCGATCACGTCCGACGGGCCGATATTGCCGTACGCATTTTTCGACGTTTGATTTACGTCGCTTCGGAAATAAACCGTTCGCGCGCGCGCGTGTGCGCGTGTGCGTGCGTTAGGGCGCGGCGCGCGGAAGGACGAAAAAAGGACTCGGCGGGGAACGTGGGATCCGTAATTTTCGTCTCGATTCCAATTTCTTTTTCTCGCGGGCTTAATCTCGTCCGGTAAATTGGCCCTCTGAACTTCTCTTTGACTGCTCTCGGCCTCTCTGGCCTCCTCCTCCGTCTCCCTCCGCCCCTCGCCGTCGCCCGTCCGCCTCCTCCTTTCCTGATAGGTACAATCCCATCAAATTATCCCGATTACCTGTAGCCTTGACGGTATACGCGAGCCTTTCTAATAGAGACAAGCGCGCGTGCGCGCGCGCGCACCGACGTTAACGACGATTTCGAAGTCGAACGCGTGC